GGGGTGCGGCGCGAGCCGGTGCGCGCGGGCCGGGTGCGCGGCACGCTCTTCCTGCCACCAGGTGAGCCGCTCCCTTCCCAGGCTGTTGTGGAAAGATGGGTATAGAACCGAGACCCTGGGCGGCCCCTTGCCTGCCTCCGGAACCTGTGGTTGTGGAACTTCTCCAAACTCGCCCCCAAGCTCCAGAGACTACCATGAATTCTGGGTGGCAGTTTCTCTAAATTTCAGGTCACTGCCTGCAGGTACTTCCACTCCCTTAGCTGTATGCTAAAAGTTCATTCAGCCGACTCAAAAAGGACATTTACGCTGCTTATGTGCCAGCCACGCAGCTGTATCTCAGATATTAATACTAATATTAGGCAATGACTTCTGCTGATGTGCAAGAATGATTTTTGCCTTCTTTCACATCAAACTTACTGAAAAACAAACAAACTCCTTGCAGGTCCCCTCCTCCTGTCATAAACCATCTGTCAATGGTTCTCAACCTGGATGATTTGCCCCACTCCAAGGGTATTTGGCAATATCTGGAGACATTTTTGCTTATCACAACTGTGGGAGGGGGGCTATTGGCACCTAGTGGGTAGTGGGTAGAGGCCAGATATGGTGCGAAACACCCACAATGCACAGGTCAACCCCACAACTAGAATTATCTTGCTCAAAGTATCTGTAGTGCTAAGGTTAGAAACCCTAGTCTAAGTAAAAACAAGATGCTTGCTAGGTAAGAGTGGTCTGCAGACTGGACAGCTGACCCACCTCTTCCAACCAAATTCCTGACTGAAACCCCTACTATATATAAATGCTGGTGCTGCCACTGTTCACAGAATCCCTAAACTGAATTCTTTGATTATTCTCCAAAACAGGAAGCCCTACTTTATTCTTACAGTTCTTTAGCAATTTACAACTTTAACTGGTCGCTGCCCACTCAACCATGAACTCCTGGGGCTGGAATTGTGACTTACATATCTCCATATCTCTATATTCCCAGAGGCTTACACAGGGATATAATAGGAGCTCAATAAATCATGCTGACTGATTCAATAAGAATCTCCTAAAGGCTTTCAGTTTTTTAAAAAAAATTTTCACTGCCTGGCCATGATATTTCAATTAAGTCAACTGTTAACTATTTTAGTACTACTGTGACCCACTTAAAATTTACTGTGTTCTGACTCAAAGACTTTATGTAAACAATGTAGAAAAGTTCAGTCATTTAACAAATATATATTAAATCAAGGATTATGCTACATACAGTAGCTAGCAAAGTCAGACGTGGGCCTCACCTTACCTCACACCTAGAGTATATAGGCAACTATACTTGGATCTATGAATGGTTAAGTGCTATGGTATGGGACTTGTAGGCCCAGGGTGCTGGTGGGAACAAATGAAAAGCTACCTAATTCAACTCAGCATGAGGGGGTTGGTGGGGGAGGTTGGGAAAGCTACCAGGAATGGAGATCTAAACTTAAATTTGAAGACTGCTGAATCAACCAAGTCAAAAAAGGTGGCGAGGGGAGGAGAATAGTGTACACCATTTTCAGGGGCCAGTGAGAACAGGGCACATTTAGGGATGGCTTTCTTTAAGGCTGGAGCAGGGAGCAAAAGGAGTTGGGGAGTATATTCTAATAATCCCCTGTATATGTAGAGTGTTTTACAGCTATTAAAGCATTCTCAGGGTTTTTTGTTTTTTGTGTTTTTTTTTAAGGAAAATTTGGTAGAAATGTATATTTCATGCTGTTATTTCTAACTTGGTTTATTTTTTTATTTTTATTTTTTATTTTTTTTTTTTATTAGTTGGAGGCTAATTACTTNGTTTTTGTCATACATTGAAATGAATTAGCCATGGATTTACATGTATTCCCCATCCCGGTCCCCCCTCCCACCTCCCTCTCCACCCGATCCCTCTGGGTCTTCCCAGTGCACCAGGCCCGAGCACTTGTCTCATGCATCCAACCTGGGCTGGTGATCTGTTTCACCCTAGATAATGTACATGTTTCGATGCTGTTCTCTTGAAACATCCCACCCTCGCCTTCTCCCACAGTCTAACTTGGTTTATATTATCATTATTGTTTTTTGCAAATATGTGAAAAATTCTGGAGAAAATAAGGCATTTTGTTCCTCCTCCCTTCTCCCCAAAGTTTATTAAAAAAAAGAAAAAAAAGTAAAAAGAGTCCTCCTCCACCTTAACACCCCCACTTCATCCCCAACCTTCCTTGCCTTAAAAACTCCTTTTTGCGGACCAAATTCTGAAACTCAAGAATATCTTCTTAGTGCCTAAAACCCTTATGATTTGTGGTGCTCTCCAGGCAGCAAACCCTTCCCTGGAATCCTCGACCTGTTTGGAAGTAGTGGTGGCCTTTGTGAATACAGGGCCAGCCTCTTGGCCGGACATGGTTTTGCTGTGCTTGCCCTGGCTTATTTCAGATTCGAAGACCTCCCTGAACATCTGAATGATGTGTGCCTGGAGTATTTTGAAGAAGCCGTGGACTTCATGCTACAGCATCCAAAGGTGGGTTCTGGTGCTTGCCTGAATGCAGAGCAGAGCGGGTGAAGCCAACACAGGGCTGGACCCAAAAGCTCTACCAGGACACCCAGGGCTGGAAATGTGGCATGAGAGACAAAGGCTTACTCAAAAGTTGTTAGGATTATTGTTTTCATTTCTACCTCTCTCTCACCAATCCCCTGTGACTCAACTGTTGAGTTGCCTTTAATTCTTGATCAGAATTCAAAGAGTTGGACTTAAAAGTCACTAACCTTAAGTTCTGGTTCTGGGTCTACTACCAAGTGGCCTTATAATCCTGAATAAAGGAGGTGCCCTTTCTGGGATTCAATTTTTCTCATTTATAAGATTAATGTAGGTTCTTCCCTGGTGGTCCAGTGGTGTTCCACTTGCACTTATACTGCAGGGGCCAGAGGTGTGATCTCTGGTCAGGGAACTAAGATCCTGCATGTGCTCCTCCCAAAGGAAAATTAATGTAAATGTATAGAGGAGAAAAGTTTGCCTATAAAGAGATTTTTGAAGGAATCGGTGACATTTGAATAAAGGCATTTGTATTTGATGATGTGAAGGAATCATTAATTTTGTTAACTGTGTTAACTGCATCATGGTTTTGTAGATAAAGTTCTTATCTGAGACTGAAAAAGTTAATTAAAACAGTTTGGAATTATTATAAATGGAATGCAATACATACTCTTTGCTACTATCTAGACTTAAAGAAACCCAAACATTCTAATGTTAAGGAATAAGATGTACTGAAGGTCTAACTCTATTAGAATTCAGGGACTGGTCTCAACAAAGCTGCTAAACCTAGATGATCTTGAACCGATGGTTTACTTATGGGTTATAACGCCCCAGGAATAAGAGACTAATATATACTATCAGGCTTCTACTGGGAGCCTTTTGTTTTAGATGACCACTCTCTGGCCTTCCTTTGGCTGCATTCCTGCCCACAGGGTGTGGAGTTTGAGGGACCAAGGGAAAGTGTCTACCTGGAAACCACGTGCCCCTCCCACCATGCCCTTTAGATCTGGAACCTCAGAATTATATGCCAGCCAGCTCTGATCTTGCTTCTAGGCCCTATGCCGCTTCTCTGGGTCCATTAATGGGAATATACCTAGGTCTTAAACATATAGGCTGGGGTGTCCATGTGTAAGGGGGCTCTTAAGGTACATGATGGAGCCAGGGATGGGAAGAGGAGAGCTGGCTAAAAACCAGAGACTGGGGCAGGGGCTGGTGCTCCCCGCAAGCCATGTTCCAGTACAGAACTCCAAGGAGTTCCAAGATATAAAATTTTAACCTGACCTTATAACTTGTTATGGAGGTGTATTTATCAAGGTTACAGGAAAAATATATTTTATTTAACTTTTAAATATTTGTAACTTTTTAAAGTATTTAGGTATAGGGTATATGGGCTTCTGTGTGTACTCTTGACCCAGTTGCCATAAAAGTGAGTGGAGGCCCTGTGTACTAGGAAATTTATTGATTTGCTCATTAGAAAATACATTTGAACTTTGTGGACTGTTGCATAAGAACGGAAAGCAAATGACATTTCAGAAAGCTGCCTAGAGAATGTAAAATCACAGTTAAATTCTCCATTTATGAATTCTAAACTTGTTCTCTCTCTCTCTCTCTCTCTTCATCAGGTGAAAGGCCCTGGTGTTGGGCTTCTTGGCTTCTCCAAAGGAGGTGACCTGTGTCTCTCAATGGCCTCTTTCTTGAAAGGCATCACAGCCACTGTAGTTATTAATGCCTGCGTAGCCAACACAATAGCTCCTCTGCGTTACAAAGATATGATTATTCCTGAGCTCAGCTATGACCTAAAAAAACATACAATCACTGAGTCAGGCTTTTTAAATTTTGTGGATATTTGGGACAACCCACTGGAGAAAACCAACCACCAAAGTCTTATTCCATTGGAAAAGGCCCAGGGGCCCTTCCTGTTTATTGTTAGCATGGATGATCATAACTGGAAGAGTAAAGTCTATGCTCGTATAGCCTCTGAACAGTTACAAGCCCATGGGAAAGACAGACCCCAGATAATCTACTATCCAGGAAGTGGCCATTGTATTGACCCACCTTATTTTCCTCTTTGTAGAGCTTCTGTGCATGCAGTTTTGGGCCAACCAGTATTCTATGGAGGTGAGCCAAAGGCTCACTCAAAAGCACAAGCAGATGCCTGGCAGCAAATTCAAACTTTCTTCCATAAACATCTCAATGGTAAAAAATCTGTCAGGCCCAGCAAGTTGTAACACTGTAATCATAGACCGTATATTAATAAAAATCCTGGATTTCCCTGATAGTCCAGTGGTTAAGAATCTGCAGGGCACATGGTTTCAATCTCTACTCCAGGAAGATTCCACATGCTACATACAGTACAACTAAGCCCACGTGCCACAACTCCTGAAGCCCAAACACTCTAAAGCCCATGCTCTGCAACAAGAGAAAGTACCACAAATGAGAAGCCTGTGCACCCCAACTAGACAGTAGCCCCCACTTGCCACAGCTAGAGAAAGCCTGTGTGTAGCAATGAAGACCCAGCACAGCCAAAAATAAGAAAATAAATTAAAAATAAATAAAACCATCTTATTAAAAAAAAGAATCCTAATCATACAACAGGTGTTGGGTTTTCCAGAGCACCTAGGAAACTTTTTGTAACAAAGCAAGCATTTCCGACTCCTTGTCAGGTCCTACCAGGTTCTCAGCCCTAGCAACCCTACTTTCTAAACTAGTGGGTCCATCCCTTTCTCCCCTGAACTTTTCCCAGTGTATATAGGCTAAACCCTGATCTTCTCTGTAGGACCAATCTTAACCTTAAACAGGAAAAATAAGAGAAGTGCCTGCTCAAGTCTCAACTGCTGGCCTAGATTTGGCCTTGAATTCTGGTTTTGAGGACTGAGCTTTTGTTCCACTGAGAGTCCCATACACTCTTTGGGGTCTAACTGACCATATCTGGCTCCCTAGTGATTCAGACAGTAAAGAGTCTGCCTGCAATATGAGAGACCCAGGTTCGATCCCTGGGTCAGATAGATCCCCTGGAGAAGGAAAGGGCAACCCACTCCAGAATTCTTGCCTGGAAAATCCATGGACAGCAACAGTGCATGGGGTCACAGAGTTGGACACGACTGAGCGACTTAACACTTTTTGACCATATCTGAAGCTTGGGAACTTGCCCACTGAAGTCCTTTAAGGAATGGACTCTGCTTCATTCTTGTCTATGAACCCCACTCTTGAGGTTTGGGAGCATCAACATACTTAATATCTTAAGCTTTGCTTTAATTTTATGAATGCAGAGCTTTGCTTTTATGACCAAGGACCTAGAGTTCAATCTCTTCCTTACTGAGAAAGTACACTTTACAAATTTTGAATTTAAAATTCAAAGGATACTTTACAAAATAAAATTGAATCCTTTATCAAAAAAGCATTTGTTGTAAGCCGAACAGTTTATGATATATGCTGTTGATATATTAATACTTATTCTTTCTTTATTGTCTAAATTTTCAATCTTGAAAGTTGGCTACCTAGAGGAATGCCTTAACACCAGCAGATTTTGGGGACTTCATCTTTGGATGTCAGATTATAACTGTCAAATCAGATTTCCTCTCCATACTATCTGTTCCTATTAACTTCCTACTGGGAAGGATTGGGATCCGTCTGTCTCAATCCATTGCCTTGTACTGGGCACTATCTAGAGTTATGAGACCAGGGCAAAGGCTCTTCTGTGAGTGCAAGAATATTTTTCTGAGACACATCACTTGGTTTGCTGAGCGCACACTAAGTCTTTCACCAATCTGAGTCTATTTAAGCAAATGCCCATTAGACCTTAACTAATGAAAAGAAGCCCAGCGTGCCGCAGTTCATAGAGTCGCGAAGAGTCAGACACGACTTAGCAACTGAACAACAATGAAAAGAAGGGTTTCTTAGAAGTTACCTAGTTTTGACCAGTTACTAGTTGTTTAAAAATATGTGTTGAGTGTATTTATTTATTGTGTAGTATAATTTTCTGTAATTTGAATCCTTGAAGCCTCTGCTTTAACTCACTCCTGGGTGGTTCTACTACCCTAGAGATGCCTTTGGGAGGGGACATCGTAGAAAGAAGTTATAAAGAAAGTGGCTGGGAGGGTAAGGGCCAAGGTAACACCAGAAGCTAAATATGAGGATGACTTAAATATGAGTTAAATATGACTTAACATCTCTGCATACTAAAGAATTAGGTGTAGGGACAGCACTCCACCTCCATTTATTTCTTACTGATAAAGTAGCCTTGAAATGCCCTACACTAACTAAAGATATTTGGGACCAGTAGGCTCTAAGAACAATATGAAAAGGCAAAAATATATGATGTTGAAAGACGAATCCCCCAGGTTGGCAGGTGTTCAGTATGCTATTGGAGAAGAGTGGAGAAATAGCTCTAGAAGGCATGAAGAGCCTAAGCCAAAGCAGAAACAATGCCCAGTTGTGGATGTGACTGGTGGTGAAAAATAAAGTCCGATGCTGTAAAGAACAATACTGCATAGGAACCTGGAATGTTAGGTCCATGAATCAAGGTAAATTGGAAGTGGTCAAACAGAAGATGGCACGAGTGAACATTGGCATTTTAGAAATCAGTGAACTAAAATGGACAGGAATGGGCAAATCTAATTCAGATGACCATTATATCTACTATTATGGGCAAGAACCCCCTTAGAAGAAATGGAGTAGCCCTCAGTCAACAAAAAAGTCTGAAGTGCAGTACTTGGGTGCAGTCTCAAAAACAACAGAATGATCTCAGTTCACTTCCAAGGCAAACATTAAATATCACAGTAATCCAAGTGTATGCCCCAACCACTAATGCCAAAGAAGCTGAAGTTGAATGGGTCTATGAAGACCTACAAGACCTAGAACTAACACCAAAAAAAAAGATGTCCTTTCCATCATAGGGGAGTGGAATGCAAATTAGGAAGTCAAGAGATACCTGGAGTAACAGTCAAGTTTGGCCTTGGAGTACAGAATGAAGCAAGGCAAAGACTAAGTTTTGCCAAGAGAACAAAAAAAAAAAAGATGTCCTTTCCATCATAGGGGAGTGGAATGCAAATTAGGGAGTCAAGAGATACCTGGAGTAACAGTCAAGTTTGGCCTTGGAGTACAGAATGAAGCAAGGCAAAGACTAAGTTTTGCCAAGAGAACGCACTGGTCATAGCAAACATCCTCTTCCAATAACACAAGAGACGACTCTACACATGGACATCACCAGGTGGTCAACAGATTGATTATATTCCTTGTAGCCGAAGATGGAGAAGCTCTCTATGGTCAGCAAAAACAAGACTGGGAGCTGACTATGCCTCAGATCATGAACTCCTTATTGCAAAATTCAGACTTAAATTGAAGAAAGTAGGGAAAGCCACTAGGCAATTCAGGTATGACCTAAAGCAATCCCTTATGATTATACAGTGGAAGTTGTAGGGAATATGCTATGCACAGCCCTGTACTATAATTAACAGGGCCTCTTTGAAAAATAAAAATGACTTTCTCATCACCCCCAGGCGAAGGGCTGGGAATAGTAAAAAGTACATAGTGGAAAGATATCTTGAAAACAAGATGTTGAAGTACTGATGTGACTGATGGAAAACCATTAGTGACTGTTCCTGTAACCAGAGCCTTGAGGGAGTTGCTGAGAAAGGGTGTCACTAGCCAAAGGGCTAAACAAAGTCATGAAAGGCCTGAAGGTTTGACACTGAAGTGGCGTGGAGTCGCTCAGTCGTGTCCAACTCTTTGCGACCCCATGGACTTTAGCCTACCAGGCTCCTCTGTCCGTGGAATTCTCTAGGCAAGAATACTGGAGTGGGTTCCCATTTCCTCCTTCAGGGGATCTTCCTAACCCAGGGATCGAACCCAGGTCTCCCGCACTGCAGCCAGATGCTACCGTCTGAGCCACAAGGACTGTGCATTGTATATCTTTATCCCTGATCTGAGATTGTAAAGAACAGATATCTCTAGAACATGAAGAAGTAGTAAGGAAGTAGAAGTTAACAATAAAAGGCATGCAAGGATTAGGATCTGGGCTTTTGCCTGTAAATGGCATCAGCCCCTGATCCACACTTTATTTCTGAGTCTTATTTTTCCTTATTCTTCTGCAGCACCACTCCCTCAGGTCAGTTTGTTGTTGGGCTGGTCCCAACAGAAGTGACAAATAGATTCAAAGGATTAGATCTGATAGAGTGCCTGAAGAACTATGGACGAAGGTTTGTATGTAACACTGTACATGAGGCGGTGATCAAAACCATCACCAAGAAATGCAAGAAGGCAAAATGGTTGTTTGAGGAGGGCTTACAAATAGCTGAGAAAAGAAGAGAAGCTAAAGGCAAAGGAGAAGAGGGAAAATATACCCATCTGAAAGCAGAGTTTCAGAGAATAGCAAGGAGAGATAAGAAAGCCTTCCTCAGTGATCAATGCAAAGAAATAGAGGAAAACAATAGAATGGGAAAGACTAGAGATCTCTTCAAGAAAATTAGAGATACCAAGGGAACATTTCATGCAAAGATGGGCACAATAAAGTACAGAAATTGTATGGACCTAATAGAAGCAGAAGATAGAAGAGGTGGCAAGAATACACAGAAATACTATGCAAAAAAGATCTTCATGGCCCAGATAACCACCATGGTGTGATCACTCACCTGGAGCCAGATATCCTGGAGTCCGAAGTCAGTGGGCCTTAGGAAGCACCACTACAAACAAAACGAGTGGAGGTGATGGAATTCCAGCTGAGCTATTTCAAATCCTAAAAGATGATGCTGTGAAAGTGCTGCACTCAATATGCCGGCAAATTTGGAAAACTCAGCAGTGGCCACAGGACTGGAAAAGGTCAGTTTTCATTCCAATCCCAAAGAAGGGCAATGCCATAAAATGTTCAAATTACTGCACAATTGCACTCATTTCATTCACATGCTAGCAAAGTAATGTTCAAAATTCAAGCTAGGCATCAACCGTATGAGAACTGAGAACTTCCAGATGTACAAGGTGGATTTAGAAAAGGCAGAAGAATCAGAGATCAAATTGCCAACATCCACTGGATCATAGAAGCAGCAAAAGAATTCCAGAAAAACTTCTGCTTCAATGACTATGCCAAAGCCTTTGACTGTGTGGATCACAACAAACTGTGGAAAATTCTTAGAAGAGATGGGAATACTAGACCACCTTACCTCCCTCCTGTGAAACCTGTATGCAGGTCAAGAAGCAACAGTTAGAACTAGACATGGAACAATGGACTGGTTCCAAATTGGGAAAGGAGTACATCAAAGCTGTATATTGTTACCCTGCTTATTT